AAAAAAAAAAAAAAAAAAAAGAAAAATACCGAAACATAGTCTCATTCTTTCTCAAGTTTTTTCCTTCCTTTCTTACCTTCTTTTTTCTTTCTTTCTTTCTTTTTTTTTTCTTACACTTTATTACATTTTTATATCATCCAAGCAGTCTCGAAAAAAGAAATCTTTTCTTCGAAAAAGAAATCTTTTCTCCCTCGCTATGGCGATGTCTCAACGACCGCGAAAGAGGGATAGAACGAAAGGGAAAGGGAGGTAGAAAGACGAGATCCTTCTGTTTCGAGAATCTTTCATCCCCTCTATTCCTCTACAAACAAGCGGAGGAAAGTCGATGGAGGAAAGACACACAACAATCCCAGCCGGCGATCTCTCACACTAGTCCCCTTTAAACGCAGGATGATCCAAAACGCGACAAAGATCGTCCTCTCTATCCGATTCACAAAGAGGATATCCCAGTTCACTTGAGGTCCTCGTCGTCCTCGTTGGCAAGTAGCTCGTCGATCTGCTTCTCCCAATCTTTATCCAACGCGCCACTGCTTCTCACCGGTGTTTCGACGCTGCTCCTCTCTTCGTTACCTGTTACTACCTCGTAATCCTTCAGCTCCGCTTCCAATTCGCGTTCCCAATCTTCCTCTGCTGGAGATTCACAAGTAGCGTTGTAGCTAGTTTCAAGCGGGCCATGCGGCCTCTTGTTCGGCGCGTGTCAATGTATATGTTGTGTGTATATGTGTGTGTGTGTGTGTGTGTGTGCTGTGTTTTATATATATATTCGTGTGCCGTTTTTTCGGTTCTATATGTGATGTCAGTATTTGTCTATATCGTACGATTTACCCGAAATTATTGTGTATACGTGTATATTTTTACGTGTTTACAGATTCACGAAATCGAGATTTTCCACGCGTACAGTGGAGCTGTTTCCAACATGTATGTAGCGTTCGCTGCCTGTTTCTTCACATCGATCTCGCGACGAGAGAGCCTCGTGTCCGTGTGTCTCCGTGTGCCAGAATTAAATCGTGTATCTGTGTTAGTGTTAGTTGGGAGAGGTGAGGATCGTAAGAGGTTAGGCGGGAGGAGGGAGAAGGGCGAAGGGCGAGAGAGGCAAAAACTCAAATCACACGCAAGGATGGAGAGAACTGAGAAGAGGGGAGTGAAAAGGCGAAAACGGAAGAACCGGAGAAATGGTGGGGTTTTCCGGCGTGCCTTGCCACGCTTTTCCCTCCTTCATCCGCCAACGGTTGAATTAATATTCCCCTCGAAGATTTGATGGATCCGCGAACATTCTATTTTCCTCGTTATAATAAATCGAGATCTCGTCGCGAAGCTATTCCAACTCTCTCTCTCTTCTCTCTCTCTCTTGTTCTCTCGCTCTCTCTCTCGTTCTCTCGCTCTCTCTCCTTCGATGAAATCGTTTCTCGCGCGCGAATAATCGCGATCGTCTATTGGCGAAAAAACAGGAACGGCGTTGGGACCGGAAGTTTCGTTCTGCGCGAAACGCGAGAGAAACGCGTCCGACTCGATCGATCGAGCCGCGAATAAACTCTCCTTCCACCTTAATGCGATTAAGCTAATTACGGTCTCGAGTCGTTTGAATTTGACTTGGGAAATTTCCCTAAAATAATTTTCTCGCGAAACTCGTAGTCAATCCTTCGCTTGTCCAAAAGTTCCACCTTGCAGACTGCACAGTGTATTAATTATTATCGTCGTTTCCATGTTTAAATTCGTTCCGAAGCTCGTATCATCTAATTTTTATTATTATTATTATTATTATTATTATTAGTTTTTAATATGTATATAAATTATATTCACGCGTCGAACTGAGAAAAATCGTGCCAACCGAATTTTTCACCGACAGCCCGATACTCGTCCTCTCTTTCTCACACATATATTCTGTCTCTTCCTCTACGAACTCTGCTCTGCGTGTATGTATACGTGTGTGTGTATCGATTCGTCTTTACACGCGCTCTCCATGTCAAATCTAGTCGATAGCCTCGCGAGTGTTGGTATATCGAGGCTTCGCGCGTTACGAGCCAGTCGTTTCTATTATTTTTACTTTTTTTTCCTTTGTCGATTTGTTTCTATCGTACTTTTTTTTTCCCTTCGTATTTCTCTTTATCCACCCCCTTTTCCCCATTTTATTCATTTCGAAATCAGGTGCACCGGTGCACGTGCGGATTTTCTCGTGCTCGTTTACACCGCTTAAGCGTCCGCCCAGAGATATACAAAAAACGTATAAATTAATTTATTTCTCGCATTTATTTCATCTCTGTAATCGTTTATGATTTTCTTCTCCAGTTATCGTCGTTCTTTTTTTCTTTTTTTTTTTTTTTGTTTTTCTCGGTTAAAGAAAAAAATTTTCTCCCCCCCTCCCCTTCTTCCTTCAACTTTTATCTCTATAATTATTTCTCTTTTTTCTTATTCTACAACGTACAACGATTTTTGAAGTTTGTTCCAGTGGACGGGCGTGTAAACGGATCGCCCCCGGTCGTTCTTTTTTTTTTTTTTTTTTACCGTGAATCTGTTGCGTAACTCTCTTTGTTAAATTTATGTTTAATTGAATTGGAAGGAAAATCACTATGAGGACTATACCCACGAGAGACGAGACGAAAGTTACACCTCGATTCCCGTTTTA